CCACCACCACCACCACAATCTACCACACCACCACCACCACCGCCACAACCACCACCACTACCAGCAGCACAACCACCACCACCACAAACCACCACACCACCACCACCACCGCCACCAACACCACCACAAGCACCACCTCCACAAACCACCGCCACAACCACAACGCCACCACCACCAACCCACCACCACCACCACCAACCACCACCACACCACCACCAAACCACCACAACCACCACCACCAACCACCGCCACAATCACCACCACCACCACAACAAACCACCACACCACCACCACAACCACCACCACCGCCACCACCACCACCACCACAACCACCACCACCACCACCACCGTCGTCCTCGTCGACGCTCCCCGCCACCGCCGCCCGCCGCCGCAGGCGCCGGCGCCGGCCAAGAAATGGAAATCGTCGTCCCCGCCGCCGTCGCCAGCCGCCGCCGACCCAAGCGCAGCGCCGGCCCGAGGAGAGGGGAAGCAGGGGGGGGGGGGTTCGAACCCCCCCCCCCTCCGTCACGAGGGGGGGGGAGGGGGTTTCGAACACGGGAGAAGGGGGGGGGGTCCTATTCCCCCCCCCCCCTCCAAGAGATCACAGAACGCGCTCTTTCGTATGTATACATGTAGGGATGGATGTATCTATGCACGCACGCACGTACGTAAGTAGGCATGTGCGTATGTATGTAGGTATGCATGTATGTATGCATGCATGCATGTATGTACGTATGCAGGCATGCATGTATGTATGTATGTATGTATGTATGTACGTATGTATGTACGTATGTATGTACGTATGTATGCAGGTAGGTAGGTATGTATGTATGTATGCATGCATGCATGTATGCATGTGTGTGTATCCATGTATGTAGTGTCTGTATGAATACATGAATGCATGCATTCCTGCATGTATGCTCATATGTGTGTATGCGGGTGTGTATGTATGTTTGTGTGTGCGTGTGTGCGTGTGCGGTGCCCCTCGCACCGAACAACATACATTTGACACTCGGTATCGCAAACTCGAACTGGTGCCTCGCGGAGCGGAGCGCAGCGTGGTCACTCCGTGTACTAGGCTTTTGCTGTCTGCGGGCACACAAACCTCGGCGGTAGTTTGTTGCACACATGCAAGAGCATCACGAGGCGATGACTTGGTTCATCTGTGAGCTTCTCGGGCAAACTGCCAGGAGGAGGAGGAGGAGCACGGGTACGACTGGGAGGAGGAGGAGGAGGAGGAGGAGGAGGAGGAGGAGGAGGAGGAAGAGGACAAGGAGGAGGAGGAGGAGGGACGGAGGAGGGAGAAAAGAGACGGAGGAGGAGGAGGAGTGGGAAGAGGACGAGGAGAAGAAAGGGGGAGACAGAGGGAAAAATAGACAGGGATGAATCCGATCGAGGTTTTTGCAAATGAGACGGGGGAAGAAGGAGGAGCAGGAGGAAACGGAGGAGGACGAGAAGGAGGAGCAGCAGCAGGAGGAGAAAGTGGGGGAAGAGGCGGATGAGGAGGATGAGGAGGAGGACGACAACGAGCGGAAGGAAACCGAGGAGGAAACGGGGAACACAGAACGAGGAGGAAGAGGAGGAGGAAGATGTTCCTCCGAATTCTAGCCGGCCTCCATGCTTTATCATTTCTCTGGCTGCCTTGCTAACACAAGTGAGGGCCGGCGAGTTATGCCCCACCCCCACCCAGGCCACAGAGACCGAAAATGTTTGGGCCCGTGTTTCGAAAGCCGAAGTTGGCATCAGCTCTAGGCGCACACAGGGTCCCTTGAATAAGCGCTGGAACAGACCCGACGACACCCTGCGCCTTCCCCCCGCCCTCCCCCGCCCTCCCTGCGCCTTTCCTCCCTCGCTTGCCACCCCCCTGCAACTTGTTGGGTCGGGGTGTCTGCGGGCCCGCCTGGAATGGCACCCCGATAATGCCGGCCAACGCGATAAAGTTATTGTGGCGCCGCGGGGGTGGGGTATAATTATGCCACGAAGAAGGCCTGATTATATACCCCACCCACGAAAATACCCCACCCACGGAAGAATAATTTCGAAGGCGGCGCGGACGCTGGAGGTCCGTCGTAGATCGCTCCGCCCAGAGCGCCCAAGTACGCCGAAATGTGCAGGGAAGACTGGGAAGAACGCAATTTTGTCCTCGTTTCACACGATGCACACTGTCATGCGACCCGCGGGAGCAAATAAACGCATGTCGCTTGGCAAAGGCACAGGGAACAGAAGTACGACTTGCACAATGATAAAATCCACTTCGAAAACGTACATGCATGGGGGTGGGCGTCATATCTGGGACCCGGAACAAGGCAACTGCTGTGGCAAGTTTAGCGCGAGCTCTTACTGAGGCCACTGCACATCGTCTAAGTCGGTGATTAACATGCTTCACAGTCGCCAGCACATACACGCTACGATTGATTAGCCAGAGTCTGCGCACCGCGAATTGTAGTAGAAAGGCCCAAGATATGGTATATATTTGTTCATGTATTTGGCCCGGAGCTACCCTGAAATTTGGTCGTGTTGCACCACTTGGCAGGTCCAGGCGGTCGTTGCGTGAACCGAGCGTCGTGCGTCAATCGCAGCTTCCTCTGTTCTGGAAGAGAGAACTTACGAAAATGGGGTCGCTAGTCCCCGTCGTTTTTTTCGCGGCGTCTTGCTCTTCCAAGACGACGGCGGGTGTGGGAAGACAGGCAGGAGGAGGAAACGGCTTTAGGTTAGCAGTTACTGACTGGTCCTCTACCGATCCACCGTTACGCCCGAATCACACCATTCGGAGATCCACTACCATAACAATGTCGGCGTATCTGGGGCATCCTTGATGACTCGAGTGGCCCTAAGATGGCCACCATTATGTCACCCCCAGTGTCCCGAGTTGTCACAAAGCCTCCCGAGGAGGCCCGCAAAAGACCGAATTCCTTCCAGCACCACGAACAAATCAACTGACGTTTGCCTTCTCACCTTCTCGCTTCCGATGGGCTCGTGAGGTATCAAGATGGCTTCACGAAGCCCCAAAAAGGCCCCAAGAGGCCCAAGATGGCCTCAATACTGCCCCAAGTTCACCCAGGAGCGCCCGAAGAGCGCCGTAAGACGCGACATTCGGAGCTGCAGAGGGGCGGCGCTAATTGAGGACCCCCTTCTTTGGTCGATAACCTCGTAGAGGGCCCCAAAAAGGGCCTAACGGGGGCCCAAGATTGCCCAGTCAAGCTGTCAGGAGGCTCCCACATCGAAAGGTCCACGAAGGCATTTGTGGCTGATGCCTGGGCCTGCTCAGGCAGATCCCGATCTTCGGTTCGACGGCTGCCCCCCCTGTTTGTTCCACTGCGTGCTGCCAAACTTTCCTCGTCTATGCAACTCCTCTGGGCGTCGTTGCTGGATGGGCTGGTGGAGATACTTTTTCGTCGCGGCCGCAGGCGAGCGCGCCAGCAGCGTCAGAGGTCGGGCGGGCTACGCGCGAGCTTATTGCCTTGCGCACGGGGACCGACGGCCGAACCAAAGCTGCCTCAGCTGCAAAAGCTGCCGGGCACTGGTGGAGATATTTTTTTGGTCGGCGGCTCCAAAGCAACGGTCAAGGAGCGAAAGCGGCGTCCGGGTGGCAGAACGGGGCGAATTTGCGAACAAAGCCGCCAGTGTCGGCGGACAAACTCGCACCCGCAAGACAAACTCGCAGTTGCACATGCACAGAACAAAATGAACTAAATTCACAAGCAAGCGCACATAGGCGCAGCAGCGTGAACCGAAGTAAACGGGCTGCCGGGAAGAAAATGCGGAGGCAACGGAGTGAGTCGCCAGGGCGGCGCCAGACTCCATGCCGACCTGCACAAGCCGAACGGCTGTGCGGTGTAACCGAGACAGTGCGCGGGGGAAGACCAAAGGCTGCACAGGCGTTGCAGGCTGAACCACCCAGCGCCCCGTCCTCAGAAATCCTCCTCCCAAGGCAGCCCAAGGCGCACCGTGTTCCCGACACCTGAAGCGGGGAGGTCCGCTGGCGTCCGAGACAGTGCGCGGGGAAAACCACTGGTGGAGATACTTTTTTGGTCGGCGGCCGCGCGACGTATGGCGATGTCCGGGACGGCGGCGCAAAGCTAATTGCACGCAAAGCGTGCGGCGCACGTGCATTGAGCAAAATGCTCCACATTCACAAGCAGACGCACCTAGGCGCCGCACAAACCAAAGTGAACAAGCGGCCACGAGTGCGTATGCAACGGAGTGAATCGCCCTTGCGGCGCCAAGCTCCGAGCAGCTTCCCAGGCTGACAACGAGGCACGAGCCCGGGGGACAGGCTGCAGGCGGTGGAAAACAAGGGCCGTCGGCGCTGAAGGCTGAACCACTCAGCGCGCAGCCAACAAACTCCACCGCAGAGTTGCGGGGGCCGGCGGCAGCCGACGGACGAGTCGGCACCACTGGTGGAGATACGCGAAGCGTCAATGATTGCCCCAAGAAGTCCCAAAAGAGAGCCCAAGACAGCCGCAATCGCAAAGGGGTCCAACAGGCCGTCCCAACAAGCTCCAAGGTGGCTCCCTCAGAGTCCTGTAAGTTCACCATGGGTCGCATCTCAACTTCCGCTTGCCTGGGCATGGTTTCTGGATGGGCTTGTTTGGGATATGCGAAGCGTCCGAACATTGGCCACAGCACAAATGCTGAGGAGCCAGCTGCAGATCAGTATAATATGGGGCAGAGGTAGACGAAGAGAAGAAGGACGACAACGATGATGCGGTTGAGCGGGGAAGAGAGGATGACAGGAGATGGAACAACATATCCGTGGCGAGGACGCGAGGAGACGAAGAGGGAGACAGATGACGCGAGGATGAGCGGGGCGGAGACGAGAGAAAGAAGTACGAGGGTGAGAACGCAGAGGAGGAGCTGCTTGCATTTGGCGCGACAACAGCGTTGAGGCCCGAAGGGGCGCGGGGTCCCGAGATGCCTCCGCGGAGGTCTCCAGAGGCCCAAGCGGGGCCCAGAGCGTCCAGCAACCTCAAGCAGCAGGCGCAGGAGGAGGCCGCAGCCTTCAGGTCGATGCCCTCCTTGCTCAGGCTCGCGCTCTCCTGCAGGATCTGTGCCGCCAGCTCCTCTGACGGGGGCGCGCAGCGGGCGCGGGCTCGGAGGAGTGGTGGCGAGCGGAGGAGGGGCAGCAGTCACTAGAGGAACAAGAAGCCTGATAAACATACACTGTTGGAGCTCCGCGCGGATTTCCTGGATCGGCGCTGGACCCCCTCCCTGGCGCGCGCCGACCCAAGAAAACCGCGCGGAGATCCGAAAGTTCATGTTCATGCCGTTATTTCTTTTTCGATTCACTTTATCTTGTTTCTCAGCGATGACGCCGATGCTGCAGGCACCCTTGCGGCTGTAATCTGGAACCCTGGGGAAGCCGCGAAGTGCGGATGCCAAGAGCCTGCTTCTCATTCGAGAGAATGCTCGTGACCTGCCCCGCCCCCCTTTACCCCCCCTGGTCACGTCACGGTTTGCGCCGGCGCCGTGTGGGAGTTAACTATTCCTAAGCATTCCCAGACGGCGCTGGAGCGAATCGTGATGTGACTGGCCCCTTCCCCCCCCTTCCCCCCCTGGTCACGCCTGTTACCGCCAGGGGATCGAACTATCCTGGCGATGGGCCAAACCACGTGCAGGTGTAAGTACCGCAAGACAAGTGGAAACTAACAGAAGGGGCTAGCCAAAGGACCTTTGCTGATTGGGTCGCAGAGGTCAGCTGTAACGAGTTACATCTGGATGCAACCCGTTACGGATAATCTGCGCGTCTGTCGGCGCATCCCTGGGGGCAGCAGGCGGAGGGGCCGTCGGTGGAGGTCCCTATGGGGCCAAGACACCTGTGAGGGGTGCGCCGAAATTGGCGCGGTCACATCATTCGAGTTCTGCCACTGGGGCCTTCGGTGGAGCTCCATAAGGAGCCACGAAGCGTGTGAGGGGTGCGCCAAACTGGGCGCGATCACGCATGTGACTCCTGCCGCAAGAGCCTTCGAGGGAGCTCCGCATGGGGCCACGAAACGTGTGAGGGGTGTGCGGGACTGGGGGCTCTCGAAGGCCCCCCAAGACTTCCAAGGCGGTCCAGGAAGCCCGCCAAGGACGGCAAGATTCAACACACACCCCACAGACCCCAAGAAGCTCCCAAGAGGCCCCAGAGGGCCCAATGGAAGCTTCCAACGCACCGAGGAGAAGCGAAGAGGCCCTACAAGAGGGCCAAAACCACTCCAAAGCCTGAGGAGCTGCTTGGTGTTTGAAAATGTTGGGTTTTACAAATTCTTCGGTCCAAAAGACCAGGCATCCAGACCCAGATTTCGGAGCCTTAGGTGGAGCTCCTTATGGGGCCACGAAACGTGTGAGGGGTGCGCCGAAATGGTGTGGACCAGGCATGCGGACCCAGGTTTTGGGGCCTTAGGTGGAGCACCCTATGGGACCACGAAACGTGTAAGGGGTGCGCCGACATGGACATGCGGAGGGCAGTGGCAGGTATTGGAGGGAGGGGGGGCAGCGGGAGGTGAGACGCGGGGCACTGTCTATTCAAAACGAGGACCCCACGCCACAGGGTGGTTGATGAAAACGGTCTCTGGGCGAGTGCCGAACTCAATGGCGCGACCACAGGATCTCGACGCATCACGGGTGCGAGGGGAGGAGGGGTCGCGCGTCCGCAGGGGCCCGTCGAATGAGGAGCTGGTCCACAAGATGTGGTTGGGAGGCCTGGGGGACCAAGCCGCGAATAGAAATCGAGAAGTCGGATGTGAAGGCTACCCTGGGTTAATTCGCGACGCCGTATCCCGGTCTCGTCCCGACGCGCGTGCGGATCGCCTCTGCCGCGCTGCGACGTAAACGTGAAGGCTACCCTGACTCTGGATCCACAATGACGTTCCCAGCGAGACGCAGCTGCTAGGAAACACTCCGAGGCTGGAAAGCCTCCAGGAACCGACGGAAAGGTAAGGAAACGTCCAACCTCCCCCCTCCCCAGACCCTGGATCCATCATGTGTTGTTGAGTCTCCGACTCAAGATTATCTCGGAAATGCACCCCGAACGATTCACCCCCCCAACAAAATCTGTATCTATACAGTACGGCTGATCTTTCCGCAACGGTATGGCAAACAACAGCGACGGCAAAATAGGGCGGACATCGACATCAAAGGAGCTTGAAAAATAGGGCGAACATTTCCGCCCTAATTGCGAAATCGCCCAGAAAGTACGGTGGATCCAGAGTGTGGGTAAAGTAAGACTCCGCTCTCTTCCGGGAACGGGCTGCGCAACGACAGCGGGACGCCACTTCATCCGCGGTCTCGTCATCGATCGCCCTCGTCGTCGTCATTCTCCTGCACCTGCTACTTGAGGGGACGTTAGAGGGGGACTGGCTCAAAGGGGGAAACATCGAGCTGGAATCGGCGATACATCATTGATAGATCGGCGGCAGGCCCTCGAGAGCGACCCCGCACGCTCCTGGGCGGGGGCCACTATCGGTGATCAGTAGGCGATTAACGATCGATGCATCCCCCCCGAGCCTATCCCCCCCTTAGCGTTGCCCCTGAAACGGTCTCGTGGTCGCCCTCCCCCGAACTTCGACGTCGTGATTTTTTCACAACGTCGTCAATAGAGGTCTGGGCACTTCCCCAGGAGCGGTTCTTCATCCTGGGTAGTTGTGTTTCACGGCCACGAGACCTGGTGAGAGCCCGCGGAAGCCGAAAACGCCCCAAACACCTCCCGTCGCGATCTGGGCAGCCCCGGAACGCTCTCGGCGAGGCGCAGCTGCTGGAGAGCAACCCGAGGCTGGGAAATCTTCGGGGACCGACGAGGCAGGGCAGAGAGCAGCAGAACAGCTGTCCACGCCCGTGTGAGGGCGGTCCGAAGACAGGCGACAGGTTGGCACGCAGCACGCGGGCCCTTTGAAAAGGACCGTTGAAACTGCTGCGAAGGAGAATGTGCGAGAAGCAGGCGACTCGATGAGCGGCAGCTCTGGTGGACGGGATACAGCCAAGCGCTGCTGCGAAGAGGCCAAACGCCCCACCGCAAGATGACGACGATGGACGGATGACGACGAAGGGCAAAGGCAAGGGCAAGGCGCGCCCGAGTCCGCCGGGGGGCGGGGCCTGGAAGGCCTGGATGACGACGAAGGGAACCGACGAAGGCGCCGGAAAACGTCGAACTTCCCTCCGGGCGCTTCCTCCTTCCTCGATCCTGGATCTCTCCCTCAATATTCCTCCTTCTTCCGACAGCACTCCCGCCAGCGTTGCTCTGGCAGGGGAGCTTCTTATAGCCGACATATAGCCCAGCGGTCTGCCAGCAAGTCAGCGCCCCCAACAGCTCGCCCTTAGGACGGCCCATGGCGCGAGGCAGCGCCTTCTTCCTCCTCCTCCTCCTCCTCCTCCTCCTCCTCATTGTCCTGCGCCTGCTTCTCCTCCCCAGGCGGGCGTGTCCTTGCCCACCAGCCCGAAGCCCACCAGCCCCACGGAGACCGAGCCGCCCCCCGCCGCACAGGAGGTGGCGGGCGCGGCCGACGCCAGCGAGCGCACCGAAAGCCGGCCTCGTGCGGGGCGGCGTGGGGCGGCGAGGGGCCTGGACTCCCTGGACGGCGGACTTTCACCTCGTCCGCTTTCGATTCGTCCTCTTTCGTTTCGTCCTCTTCGTTTCGTCCTCTTTCGAAGCCCGGACGAACTGGAACCTGGACGAACCGAAACGGACGAATCGAAAAAGATAAACCGAAACGGACGAATCGAAGCGGACAACATGAAACGGAATCGCCTGGACAGGGGGCTCCGCCTTGCCAGGAGTAGAGGCAGACACTGCGTAAGTATAATTTTTCGGAGGTCCGCGCGGATTTTTTGGATCGGTGCTGGACACGCCCCTGGATACGCGCCAGAGCACGACCCGGAGGCAACAACCCTTCTCCCCGGATGCGCGTCAGCGCGTGACCCAGAAGAAACGGCCCTTCCCCGCGGATGCGCGCCGAAGCACGACTGGTCACATTTTCGGATCGTTGTCTGGATCCACAGCGAAGCACGACCTGGAGGGGATGGCCTTTCCCTCTGGATACGCGCCAAAGCACGACCTGGAGGGAACAGCCCTTCCCCCTGGATGCGCGCCGAAGCACGACCCGTCACATTCTGGGACTTTCTCGATCGACGGCCAAACGCGACCCAGAGGGAAGAACCCTCCTCCCTGGATGCGCGCCAGGGCACGACCAAGAGGGAACATACCTTCCCCTGGATACGTGCCGAACACACGACCATACACGACCCGCCGTATAATATAATCTGTCTTTGGATCCGCAGCGACCCAGAGGGAACAACCCTTCCTCCTGGATGCGCACCGACATGCACGGCCCGTTCAATTTTTCAGATCCCCTTCTAGGCCCGCAAAAAAACACACACGACCCGGAGGGAAGAGCACTTCCCCCTGGATGCGCTAGAGCACGTCCCCGAGGAAACAACCCTTTCCACTTGATGCGCGCAGAAGCACGCTGATCCTGGATCCACGGCAAAGCACGACCCGGAGGGAATGGCCCCCAGGTGCGCGCCAGAGCAGGACCCCGAGGAAGTGCCCCTTCCCCCTGGACGCGCGCCGAAACGCGACTCGTCACTGATCCTCCTCTGGACACGCGGCAGCACGTGATTCCGCACCGTGGGCCGCCATGAGGCCCCTTCTTGGGGTGCTGAAGCCGCCGCCTCGCCTGACACCCCCTCACTTCCAGCTCGGACAGCAAGGGATGTTGCGGACCCAAACAAAGAAACCACCGGAGACAAAGCCCTGCAACTGACACAGAGAAAGACCAAAAGAACCCTGCAAAAACCTGTCGTGGAACAGTGGAACCCAAACATGCGACAGAAACCGAGCTCCTCAATTCGTGGAGCAAGCTGGGAATACTCCGCGGATCTCGGACGCCATCCGACCTCGCCGACCTCGAGGAACTCCAGAAACCCAACTGTTTTGCAAAAGAAAAACCCCGGCGTCCGCAAGCAAACCTGCCCGAAACCCGACAGCCAGCGGTCCAGCGTGAGAAGGCCCAGCCGACTCCGAGCAAAACAAACGCAGCTCTTTCCTCACTTCCCTCCTCCTCCTCCTCCTCCTCCTCCTCCTCCTCCTCCACTTCCTCCTCCTCACGCCATTTTTCTCCTCCTCCTCCTCATCATCATCCTCCCGCCCTTCCTGCTCCTCCTCTCGCCCCTCCTCTTCCTCCTCCTCATCCTCCTTCTCCTCTCTTCTCTCCTCCTCCTCCTCCTCCTCCTCCCCCTCCCCTCCTCCCTCCTCCTCCTCCTCCTCCTCCTCCTCCTCCTCCTCCTCCTCCTCCTCCTCCTCCTCCTCCTCCTCCTTTTGCTCGTCCGAGAAAACCATACCTGCATCCGCAAGCAAGCCCAGCCGAACCCCGAGAACCAACGGTCCCGCGTGAGCAGGCCCAGCCAACTCCTGAGCACGACGGTCCTGCGAACAAGCTCCGAACATATTGACGCAATTCCTTACCCATTTCCTCTCCTCCTCCTCTTCCTCCTCCTCCTCCTCCTCCTCCGCCTTCTCCTCCTCTTCCTCTTCCTCCTCGGAAGCCTTCCTCTTCCTGCTGCTCGCCCGAATCCCCACTGCTGTTCTTCCTCCTTATCATGATCCTCATCCTTCGCCTCGTCACTGTCATCATGCCCATCCTCCTCCCCACTCCTACTTATCGTCCTCATGTTCCTCTTCCTCCGCCTCCTCCCCTCGCCTGCGCGGGGGTCCCAAAAATGGCCCGAGGAAGCTTTCCAGGTCCACTCCCTTGCTCCCAGAGATCTCTCAATTCACCATGGTTGCCCGCTTTGCTTCATCATATGTGTCCATTCCTCCCATTTTCCGTCGGCTCTAACGGGTTGCATTTGTGAATGAGCTGGTGGGGGTACTTTTTTGCTCGCGAGCGCAAGCGGTACGGCCGCGCGCCGTCGCAAGGGTCAAACAGTCCTAAAGCAGCGGCTGGAGACAGAAGCTGCGGGCACGCGGCACGCTCAGAGGCCGAAAAAGCGAGGAGCAAAAACGCCGAGCCCACGTGCACAGGGAACCTCAGCAGACTGGTGCGCGAAGAGCACGCACACACTTCGCCTCGATGAAGAAGTCAGCGCCGACCAAATCAACGAACAGGGCAGATCGTGACATACCGGCACCGTCGTCAATACGGGTGTTCTGCATCTACCACGTAGCAGCCACACGAGGAGGCACTGACACCAGCGGCCAGTCATCCACTCAGCCAACGTATCACGATACCGCCGACGTGCGGAGCGGCAGGTGCGGGCCAGAGTAACGCAGTACCGTCGATAGCATTTGACAAGGAGAGGCCATTGTGCTTGCTGTCGCTGAACCAATGCCACAGGAAGCTCCGGGGCCATATAGTCAATGCGGACGTAGCAAGGACAAAGATGCTGAGGTGAGCTGGTGGGGATACTTTTTCGGTCGCGGCCGCGAGACGACGGCCAGGCGGCGAGAGCAAAGTCCGGGACGCGAACTAGGCGAATTAGCAGGAATGCGTGGTGCGCACATGCACTGAGCAAAATGCTCCGCATTAAGGCGAACGCACATCGGGCTGGTGGGGATACGCGAAGCGCGATGAATTTGTTTTGCTTTTGTGTTGCACAAATTTGGGTTTGCGCTGTGTCTCGTTTGGAGAGCGCTACGTGAAAGCCTGGAAGTTTTCTTTGTGCGCCGGCAATCAATATTTTGCTCCAGCGCAATATTTGGGGGACGGGGGGAAAGGGAAGGTCAGGGAATTCGCGAGGCAACGCATCTCTCCAGTCCGAATGCCAATCGCGCGCATCCCCACACCGCTGCCAGGCCCGACACAAAAACCCTGGGCTCGAACAGCGAGGCAAATGCATGCGCCACGGACTCGGTGCAGGAAAAACCGCACGAACAGGAAAATACAACATGGAGTTCGAACGATGAGTTCACCCTGGGGCGCACCGAGAAACCTTCAAAAAGCGGCATTGCGCAACGAACGTGTCACACATTACGCCCCTCAATTCGGCAACGAACCAGCGTTGTGGCTGTCACGGGATCGGTGCACAGCGGTTCTCGGCAGGATAGGCTGGCACACCGCCAGAAGGAGGGGAGACGAGAAGGAGCAAGGGAATGACAGCAACAACAGCGACACCACAGACGAAACGTGCAGCAGACCTGACCCGCGCCAGCGGCACAAACCGAATCAGATGGTGGCATGGCTGGGCGAATAACGCACGCCAGTGTGTAGAATGAAGCTGGGAATCGACCGGACGAGAGGCCGACCGAGCCAACCCATCGGCGGCTAGGGCGCAAAGCGTGGTGTGATCAAGAGAGGCGGATGGGCAAGCCCAGGGCAAGACCTGAGGTTGGCCACCAGCGGCCCTCAAGTACGCCACGCGGCGCAAGCATGCGGCGGGCATCCCAGCACCACCCATTATGAAGGGCGAGGGGGACGAAGGGAGAAGGGAAGCAGACAGCGGGAGAGAAACGAGAGGCCTGACACATCCACCGCGAGGCGCGAGCAGCACGCGAGGCGTGCCGAAGCACCCAGCACCGACACGAGCTTGAAACAGATACGGGGCGACAAGGAACGGAATGCACAGCACGATGACCGACCAAGGGGGGAGGCAAGAGGGGAGGGGAGAGAGGAACGACCCGGAAAGGAGGAGAGAAGGGGGAGGAGAGGGGGAGGAGAGGGGGAGACGAGGGGGAGGAGAGGGGAGGAGAGGGAAAGGAGGAGAGAAGGGGGAGCAGAGGGGGTGGACGACCGCCCGGCGTGACCGACGGCAGCAGCGGGGAAGGAAGGAGAAGGACTGACCTCCACGCCTGGAGGCGTGGGCACACCAGGCGCGGGACGTGCGACTCTGGGGAGGGTCCTGCGCGGGCTCGCCATGCAGCCCGGCGGGCACGAGCACGGTGATACAGCGCCGTCGAGGGGAGGGAAGAGGAGGGAGGGGAGAGGAGAGGGAACGCCATGGACCGTCATGGACCGTTGAGGCAACGCGGCGCATTACAGGCGTGCCTTCTTGCAGAGGCTCACTGGAAAATGCCCGGACTGCCACCCAAACAAAACAACACGACGTGCCATTCGGCACCGTGCTGATAAGTGCGCGAGCGGGCGGACAAATCCTGGCCCCCCGTCCAAACACATGTGTATGTATTGCATGTTCTGTAAGATGATCATATACATCTGTGATGCCAACTTCTCATGTCCGATGCATTCGCATGATATGGACTGCTATGCCGTCTGATTTCCTACTATGGTATAGTCTCTTAGGCTGCGTTGAAACATCGTCTATGAAACCATACTCTAGTATATGGTACGACATAAGGCTATGACCGATTATGCCCTATTCTAATATGTTATGTTCTGTCTTGTAGTGTAGCGATACCGTCGTGACGTCGTGACACCTGAACGGCGTGTCGCCGTGCATTTCGTCGACGACGCGAGGCGGGCCACTCGGGATCATCTGGTGTCCCTGGGTTCTGGCGGCCGCGGTCTGCAAGCATTTCGTCGAAAAGGACCTCCAGGGGGTCTGGGGATCTGGCGGCCGCGGTATGCAGGGTGGGCGGATCGGGAACTCTAAATTCTTGTAGTAACCCCAACCTGTCGGGTGGGGAAACAGCACTCCCTTCTCCTTCTCCCCCTCCTCCTCCTCTTCCTCCTCCTGACCTCCAAAAACTCAAACAGTCACCAAGCGCCTCGGGTGACTGTTTTGGAGCGGGTGCCTTTTCAGGCGACTCGATTTCCTGCATCGATATCTGGATATCTCGATATCCAGATCGAATTCGACATCTGCATGGTGAACATTGCTAGGCCACGAGTCGAGAAAAACACTGCCATTCGCAACATCGAGATATTGAATCCCCGCCCGGCCCCGCCCGCCGGTATCGAGACATCGAGGTGTCGAGTTCCCGCCTGGCCCTGGCCCCCGATATCGAGATATCAAGTTCCCGCCCAGCCCAACTCCTGACATCGAGATATCGAAATATCGAATCCCCACCCGGCCCCGCCTCCGATGTCGAGATATCGACACATCGAGTCCCCGCCTGACCCCGCCCCCGATATCGAGACATCGAGTCCCCGCCCGGCTCCGCCCCCGATGTCGAGATATCGAGACATCGAGATGTCTAGTCCCCGCCTTGCCCGCCCCCGATGTCAAGATATCGAGATGCTGAGTCCTCCCGACCCCCACTGGGACGCCTTTCGACCACAGTGGAATCCAGAGCCGGGGGGCGGGGAGACAGACAAGACAAGACGCGATGAACTACTACAGTGAGGTCAGTGCAGCCGGGGAGGGTGGGCAGTGGCAGAGCAGTGATGGCGCACCGATCCGCACCGTGATGATGGGGGGCGACAGGGCGCGAGCGCCGCGGGCTTCCAGGCGCAGTGGGCACGCGCCTCGGCGTGCGGGGCTGCGGCACCACATCGAACGACACGACACGAGACGAAGCAAGACACCGTAACCGTCCTCCTCCTCCTCTTCCTCCTCCTCCTCCTCCTCCTCCGCCTCCTCCTCCTCCTCAGTCCCCTCCTCGCTTTTCGGCGCCAGTGCTCCAAAGCGGCGGCACCCGATATCCTCGCGCCTTCGAAAAAGCTCTGCGCGCTGCAAATCTGGATCTGGTCTCTGGCACCGCGCTGCGGAGCCGAGCCTCGATCGGCAACACGCAGCTGGCCAGGGATGTCAGCGGGCAGGCCCGCAAATCGCTGCTTTCCAGACGAAGGAAAGCGCTGCCCCAAAAGGTATCGACTTTCCCACTCGTGGCGGGCGAGAGCGGAGAATTAGGCAACATCGCCCGCTGCGAAACAAACGCGGCGCCAGGATCAGGTGGCGACATCCGAACCCGACCCCCACCAAACCTCGCTTCTCTGGAATCGATGGGAGGCGGGGGTAGGGTTCGGATTTCCCCACGTTATCGACGAATTCCGAACCCTACCCCCGCCACCCATCGAGTTGCCTGAATCGTCAGAGCCTCGCTCTGAGGACATTCCTGCCGCTCGCTCCACTCGTGCGTCGGTGCTGCGTCGAACGTCCGTCGACCGTACCTCGACTCGAATCAAACTCGGTCGGAATTGAATCGAGTTTGGGTCGAGCCAGAGTGGCACCCAGGGGGGGCCCCAGAAGACGAGCCCCTGAGAATCGTGCTGATCGGCGAGGGCACGGCTCGGACCTCGCCGCCGAGCCAAGACCTCGGGGGACGCCCCCCCTGCGGACTCCCGGCGGCGGGGCCGCCCCGCGGCGCCGCCGGGGCCTCCGCCGACCCCCGCCAGCAGCACGGCGCGCGCCGCCAGACCGCGCCGCTGCCCGGCGCGGGCCGGAAGCGCGGCCACGGCGCCCAGCGCGGCGACAGCGCCTCCCCCCTTGCCGATCGCCCCCCCCCCCCCCCCCCCGGGAGGAGCTCGACGGTTTCCAGCGTTGTCGTCGGTTCTCGGAGGTTTTCCAGCTGCGGGGTGCTTGCCAGCAGCCGCGCCTCGCCGAGAGCGTTCCGGGGGTGCCCAGATCGTTCTGAACGGCCGCTGGAGACCCGAGTCGTGACTCGAAAACTGGACTCGGCGTCGCGCCGAAGGAGGACCCACACTTCTTCTCGTCGTGAGCATATCGCGACGGGAGGTGTTTGGGCCGTTTTCGGCCTCCAAGGGCCCTCAGCAGGCCTAGGGGCCGTCAACAAAAACGGCCCGGGATGAAACACCGCTCCCAGGGAAGTGCCCAGACCTCTGGGGCCGACGTTGTGAAAAAATCACGACGTCGGAGTTCTGGGAAGGGCGAGGGAGAGACCGTTTCAGGGGCAACGCTGAGGGGGGGAATAGGCTGCCCAGGGGTCGCTCTCAGGGGCCTGTCGCCGGTCCGTCGCCGCTTCCAGCTCGATGCTTCCCCTGTGAGCCGGTTCCCCCTGACGTTCCCCCTCGAGCAGGCGTGGGAGAACGACGACGACCAGGGCGAGGACGAGGCCGATGATGGAGTGGACTCCCGCTGTCGTTGCGGAGCCCGCTCCCACAAGAAGGCGAGGCCTTCCTCTACCCTGACTCCTTATCCGCCATGCTTTTGGACGATTTCGCAACTGGGGTGGAAATTGCCGCCCCACTTTTCAAGCTCCTCTGATGTCGACGTCCGCCCTGCTTTGCCGCCGCTGCTTCCGCCATACTTGTTGCTGTTTTTGCTCGTACTCGTTATCCGAAGCGACAATTCCCGTCCTACTTGTTCCCATTGTTTGGGGTGCATTTCCACGACAGTTTGGGGTCGACAAACCAACGAAAGTACGGCGGATCCAGGGTCAGGACCCCTTGCACATCTGGCCGATCTCCCGCCCCCCCCCTCAACGCCTCAACCTCCTGTCCAGGATCAGTCCACACCGAATCGATAACTCGGATCGGATCGGAACGCGAATCGAATCGGGTCGCATCGGCACGGAGTCGGGACCGACTCGAATCGGCCGCGCCAGGATGCACAGCAGCGCCGTGCAGACATCGGGCCGCCTCGGATCGTCAGAATGCCAGTGCCTGAATCGGACTGGGCCGGCCGAGACCGACATCGAATCGGCTCGGTCGGATCGAGACGGACCCTGCCCGTGGCAGCGAAGCAGGTCACGACGGGAGGCTTTCGGCAATCTTCGGCCTCCGTGGGACCTCCCTGGGCCACTGGGCTCACGACGAACATGCCCAAAGAACGACTCCGGGATGAAAATGGGGGGTATACCGGAAGAGGGGTCGCAGATCTCCAGGGGCCCACGCCGTGGAAACGCCACGACGTTCGAGGCCCTCCAGTGCTGCGGGGGGCGGAAGTGCTCCCTGCGGAGTGGTGACGAGAGGGGGAGGGGTACGGGGCTAGAACATGTACACCACCACCACCACCTCCCTCGCCCCCTCCCTCTCCCTCCCTCTCCCACGACAGAGGAAAGGAAGAGGAGGGAGGAGGAACGGAGGTGGTGGTGGTGCATATTCTTGGGACCCGCAAGCGGGCGGTGGGCGGCCAGGAGAGCGGGCGCCCCATGGGCCAGAGCAGCTCGCCCGCCGCTCTGAGCCCGGAGGCTCGCCTCGCTGCCAGGATGCTGTGGTGAGGGGGGGGGACGTGAGGGGACGTGAGCGAGCGGCCCGAAGAAGGGCCCCGGGAGGGAGACAGACAGGAGAAACCAAAACAAGAGGAGACATCGCAACGCAGCCTCGAATCGACAACCTCGCGTAATCGAACAGCTGTGCGCGCTGCTTCGGCAGCCAGACCTCTCTCGCAGACGCAGGTGGCCAGTCCAGCCTCGGGGGGCAGCGTCAGGTCTCCGCACCTTCTCGGATAAGCGGAGGGGAGCGGGAGGAGGATGTTCCCTTGCGAGCAGTCCCATCATCAGCGAACGTGGCATTCGGGCACCCCGAGGGGGAGCCGCCAGGGGTGTGACCCCCAGGAGCGAAAACAAACTCGAAAGGAACATGCCGCCACGCTGGTCCCGGGCAGGCCGTGCTGCCCGGCGGAAGGGGACGAGGAGGGGAGAAGCAGGCAGACGACGACGAACGCCCAGGCGGGAGGCCAGGGCCGCCGCCGCCTCGCCCGTCCACGAGCATCGGAACGAGGGGAGGGAGGAGGGTGGGAAAGCAGGGGAAGTGGCCAGGGTCCGAGGTGCTGTGCGAAGATCCCCTGCGGCCCAAGCGGCCTCTGATCGAATGCACACTGCGCACACAGCGGCATCCAAGAGGGGAAGGGAGAGGAAGGGAGAGAACGACACGCCGCGGTGTAGGGGGCGTGCATAGTGATCGAGACAAAACACATTCGTTTCTAACAGCCCTACGGTGAAAGTGGCGAAGACTAGAGAGAAAGAGGCAATAACTGAGAAAGAGAGAGAGAGAGAGAGAAAGATGGAGAGAGAGAGAGATGGGGTGCAATAAAGGCGGCATGGTGGACGCCAGATCGCAGCACGGGTCCCCAATGGCGGGCCAGACTCAAGCACTCGAGAGGTCTAGACACGTACAAGGTAACACATAGCATTAAAACGGAGGACCCAGAACTCCAACGTCGTGTTTTTTCACGTCGACCCCCAGCAGTCTGGACGTCTGAGAGAGCGCGTTTCATGGGCGCTTGCCTTGGGAACATTTGGCGGCGCGCTTGAACCGCGGGCCCCCCCCCCGAACACCGAACATTCGGCGCCGTCGAACCAAACCAGGGGGAATCCCCTCCCCCCTCCCCCCCCCTCCCCTCCCCCCCCCCCTCCAGGGGGGAGGCGGGGTTCGAACCCCCCCCCACGCCCCCCACCCCCGTATGTCTCTCTTCATCCTCCTCCGTCGGCTTCGGTCTACGGCCCAGTCTTGCCACTCCCAGCGCGAGAGAACTCAGATATAGACATTCTTCGTGATGCGTCGCGTGCCTGCCGTCGTCGCCGTCGTCGTCGTTGTCGTCGCCGCCTTCGTCGTCGTCGTCGTCGTCGGCGCCGGGGCCGCCGTCGTCGTAGGTGTCGTAGGTGTCGTCGTCGTCGTCGTCACCGTCGTCGTCGTCGTCGTCGCGGTCGTCGTTGTCGTAGCCGTCGTCGTCGTCGTCGTCGTTGTCGTGCTCGTCGTCGTCGTCGTCGTCGTCCTCGTGGACGTCGTCGTCGTGGTGCTCGTCGTAGTCGTGTTCGTCGTCGTCGTCGTCGTCGCCGTCGCCGTCGTCGTCGTCGTCGTCGTCGCCGTCGACGTGCTCGTCGTCGTCGTCGCCGTCGTCGTCGCCGTCGCCGCCGTCGTCGTTGTCGTCGTCGTCGCCGTCGTCGCCATCGCCGCCGCTGTCGTCGTCGTCGTCGTCGTCGACGATGTCGCCGTCGTCGTCTTCGTCGTCAACGTCGTCGCCGTGGTCGTCGTCGTCATATTCGTGGTCGTCGTCGTCGTCGCCGTCGCCGACGTCGTCGTAGTCGTCGTCGTCGCCGCCGCCGTTGTCGTCGACGTCGTCGTCGCCGTCGTCACCGTCGTCGTCGTCGTCATTGTTCTCGTCGTTGTCGTCGTTGCGTCGTTGTCGTCGTCGTCGTGGCCGTCGTCGCCGCCAGACGGCTCTGGCGCTGGCGCCGGCCCAGAAGAAGGGAGGGTGGGCTTCGAACCCCCCTCCCCCTTGAATCGTCGTCTCGTCGATGCTCCCCGCCGCCGCCGACAGCCGCCGCTGGCGCCGGCGCCGGCGCCGGCCCAGGAAGAGGGGGACCGCCGCCGTCGCCTGCGCATGCTCGCGGGGTGGGGGGTGGGGGTTCGAACCCCTCCCCCCCTGGAGTGAGAGGTGGGGAGGGGTTCGAACCCCCACCTCTGAACCAAGGGGCGGGGGGGCCAGTTCCGGAACTGCCCCCCCCTCCAAGCGCCCACAGGACGCGCTGTTTCGGACGTCTGGACCCCTTCCTCGGGACAGATATTTCATCACGGGCCACTTTCTGACTGACAGCTCTCTGGAGCCCAGTACCGAAATCATCCACTACGGGACATTTTCGGTCACGCATTTCGGTCGCGACTGGAGGGGGTTTTAATTTCGGTACTTTACTTACTTCTGGGCTTGCCAGAAGACCACAAGCATTTGACATACTTACAAGGAAATAGCAGATCTTAACATCAGATAGCGTCGACACTTTTCAAGGCAATCTTTTGATGTTGGGCAAAGCATCCCATACTTGGTCGCGAGGTGCATGTTGGCAAGTACATACAAACACTTAGCAAGTACGTGTAATGTGCCCCTTGATCGTATGTTAAGCACTTCGCAAGTACATACAAGTACTGAACTTGAGCGCCCCCAAAAAGCTATACACATGCATGCTGTGCAACTATGTACAGAAGTTGGCAAGTGGTGCCGTCAAATAGCACGTGGGTTGCAGGCAAGCAGTAGTTGTACACCGCAACGAAGTGGGTTGGTTGCACACCAAGACGAAGTGAGTTGCCTACCACAGCAAAGTGGGTTGTATCAAGTTAGCTGCGTGCCTTTCCTCTGGCAAACCCGCAGATCATCAAAACAACGGTAAGACGGCACTTCGGGTGCAAGCGAAGGCTTCGAAAATATCGACGGCTCGCTCTTTACAGGAATTCGCGACCAAAGTCCGAATTCTGGTCGTTGCCAGCACGTCCAGAGCCTAACTGAACCTAAAGGAGGAGGAGGAGGAAGAGGAGGAGGAGGAGGGGGAGGAGGATGAGGAGGAAGAGGAGGAGGAGGAGGAGGAGGGCAACATCAGTAGGATGAGGAGGAGCCGAGACCTCCCTGACCGGACCTAACTGAGCCTAGAATGCCTCCAATCCTCCCCTGGAGACCTCCCAGATGGGGTCCGAGCAGATGGGGTCGGAGGTTCACACAGCGTCGCCGATGCATGACGTCAGCGACGCCGTCGGCGTAGAGACGATCGGGCTCCACATTGAGCCGCGTCGCCGACGCATCGGCGATACGGCGCGATCCTCCGACCACATCTGCTCACCACCTACCCGGACCCCATCTGGGAGGCCGGGACTTCGCCAGTGCCAGCACGACGCGCCGCCCCGCCCCGCAGGCCCCGCCGAGGGACCGCGGCATGCCGCCGCTGGCCGGGCCCACGGCGGCCTTCCTCTGCGGTCCTGGGCGCGCGGCGGCGACGCGCCGTGGGATGCGGCGACCGAGAGGTCCACCTCCTCCCGTCGTGAAGCCCGTGGCTTCGATGTGGTTTTTTGTGCCTCGGGGCCCACACGGGTGGGGGACTCGAAGTCCACGCGTCCATCAAGAGGTCGTCGCCGACACAAGGTTCAAGACCCCAAGACCAGCCCCCCACCCGTTCGAACACAAGGTTCAAGACCCCAAGACCAGCCCCCCCACGCGTTCGAACACAAGGTTCAAGACCCCAAGACCAGCCCCCCCACCCGTTCGAACACAAGGCTCAAGACTCCAAGACCAGCCCCCCCACCCGCTCGAGCCCCAAAGCACGAAAACCAGATCGCGACAGGTGATGCCTGCTTCCACCGTCGCGCTTTGTAGCGCCAAATGATCTCGCCACGCTTCGGACCCTGGGGCCCTTACGGATCGATCCGGCTGGAGAAATCCTGCAAAAAAATGGGGTCTAGGGCTCTTGATGTCTGACGATGTTATATTTTTGCTCGCGACGTCGGATCTTTGGGCGGGAAGTCTTTGGCCGTTTTCGGTCTCTGGGGACCGTCACTGGGCCTCAGGGCCATTAGAAAACGGCTCGGGATGAGAAGCTCGTCCAGGGGAAGGGGTCCAGACCTCTTGGGTCGACGTTGTAAAACAAAATCGCTGTCACAATTTTGGGGAGGAGGAGGTCCTGGGGCCGAGAATCGCTCGCGTGGTTACAGCAGGCTCGTGCCGTGACGACCATTGCGTTGGTTCTTGACGTCGCACGACGCCATTGCGGCGCGGTGCACACAAATCGTCCGCGGACTTCTGCAACCCCCGTAGCCCCAGCTGGCGCCACCAGGAGAGGCGCCACCAGGAGATCGCAGCGGCAATGTTTCTTCTTATTGTTTTTTGCTTGTTTGCTGTCTTGCCATATCAGGTGCCCGTGAGCGTGCCCTTGGCCCCAGGGTCGTCGTCACCGGGAGGGAACGGACAGATGCCCAAGTAAAACGAAACGTGGGTAGAATGGGGGAGAGGCGTACAAGGATGCACACACACGGTCTGGAACTTTGGCTTAGCTCGTCGTTCAGGTCCGCCGGTTCTGGCTCATCACGCTTCGGCGCGACACGCTGTCCACGTCTGGCAAGACGCGCCGTCCACGTCCCAATCCACCAACGTCAATGTCCAGCGTCTTTCCTAGCCTCCCGCCCCGCGGCGAGGAGCGACGCGCTATCCGCTTATAAAGCGTATCGTGTCGCCGGGGCCGCTGCCGCGACACGTTAAGCGAAAGTGCCTGACCGTGCTCTAAGCAGGTATGCGAACGCTCTTTGCGCGCACACAGTTCAAAATGCAAGTAAGTACAAGCATGCAAACACGCGCAATCAACCGCACACACGCGCAAATATGTTTACACATACGTAAGTTCGCACACGTAGCTCCACGTAGGTAGTACGCGTGCGCGCGGGTACATACGTACATCTGAAGATACATATCAGGACGGCGCGATGCAGCGCGATGCAAAGCAGTGCCGAATAAGTTTGATGCAAACTGGGGGCCGTCGTAGAAAAGGCCGCGGCGAAAGAAGTACGCAAAGCAACGCCAACGAGGACGTCGGAGGTTCGAGGCCTACCCCAGCTCGTGGAGAACAAGCGAAGTCATCATTTTCCTCGCACGGCCTCGACTTCTCTCTGGCTCGGAAACACGTGGTAGTCATTCAATGGATCACGAACGATACGGTGAGGGCATTTTTACCACCTCTGGCCAGACGGCTTGCTCGCAACTGAATTCGTGGCCACCCAGGCGCGCGCCCCTCAGAGCGCCTCGAGCCTGGCCTCCAGGTCGAAGGCGGCGCCAAGGCGCGATCAGCCCCAGAGCGACGCCTCGAAGGCGGCGCAGAGCTGGGAGAGGTCGCGGGCGCGGGCGGCCGAGCGGGCCTGCACCTCAACACCGCCTCCGCGGGCAGTGGCGAACGCGCCCGTGTCGTAGCGGACCTTGGCCTCCTGGAAGCGCCGCTGGAGCTCGGGCAATTCGGCCCGCGAGGCTCGACCCAAGCTCTCCAGCCTGGCCCTCCCCCGCAGCATGCTCCAGCACCTGCATGTGGGCCATGGCCGTCCAGGCCAGCTCCTCGACTTGCGCGGCGGTCTCGACCTTGGTGAAACTGTGCCGCACGCGCTTGGCGCCGGCCAGCCTCGTCTCGATCGCGACCATGTCGTCGGCTGCCGCCGCGAGGTCGGAGTGGGCCTGCACATCGCCACGGGCTCCGCGGGCAGCAGCGAACGCGGCCGTGTCGACGCGGCCCCTGCCCTCCAGGAGGAGCCGCTGGAGCTCGGCCGCAGCTGCCCGCGTGGCTCGGGCCAAGCGCCCCCGACGCCGCACGAAACGCCTAGCCTGGCCCACTCCCGCAGAGTTCTCCAGCACCTGCTTGTGGGCCATGGCCGTCCAGGCCAGCTCCTCTGAGAAGTGCGCGGCGGTGTCGGCCTTGGTGATGATGTCGCCCAGCACCTGGCATACGCGCTGCGCTGAAATGCCCTCGTATGGCATCTCAACCAAGTGTCGCGCGGAGCTGTTCGACTCTTCGGCCAGGCGGTCCGCGAGCTTTCAGTTCGCCGCCACGCCTTGTCCGAAGGCGCAAGCCTCCGTCGAGGGATCGTGCTGGTACCAAACACCTGGTGCCAACTCCAGCGGTTGTTCTGCGACGTCCTGTAGGTTGTGCTCCTCCTCGGCGATCCCGTTGGGCACGAACCTCGGCACGACCGCATTGCACTCCTTGCCGCCGCGCTGCCAGGCGTTCAGCTGCCGAGGCGACGCTGCCGCGATCTCACCCGCCGTCACGACGAAGACGTGGGATGCCGCGTTGCGCCTTCTCTTCGCCAACGGGTCCACCTCCTCATCGTCGAGCCTGGCCTACAGAACAGGGACAATGAGCTGCACCCTCTGATGAACCTTGTCGGTCAGCGGCTCCCGGATGTTCGCCAGCTCCTTTTCCAGAGCCTTTGACTGGGACCGCGCCATCTGCGGACTCGCGCGCACGCTGCACCGCCGCAGCGTGAGCCGCCCGCTTGCTGCTCGGGATTATCGTCTGCGACCCCTCCCGCGCCAGATCGCCCGCCGTCATGCCGCCCGCCGCAGGCGCCCGACAGGGTCAGGTTTGAGGCTGGCCCGAGCCAAAAATGAATACGGACGATGAGGGCATGTAATAAGAAACCCTTGGATAAGGAACCCAGGGTCTGGAAGCCGGCGGAACACCCACTGAGGCTTAGCCATGGACATCACCGCCACCGTCATCAGATCAGGAATCATGCAGGGTCTTAAGCCTCCTGGGCGCATTCCTTGACCAACTCCCCCACCGTAATGCTACGTTTCGCAAAGCTCCAACATGGCACGGTATCACCATCGAGATACTGCGGCGCGCATTTTGGGTACCTCCGTCGCAGAGCGGGACATAGAAGAGGCGCCGTTCTTCGCTCTCGTCGGAACCTTCCGCGGGAATCCCGCGTGGGGGAGCCCCCTGGAACGACTTGTGGGGCCCATCCCTGTGGCGCAGCAACGACTGCTCGAGCCGCAGCGCGCGCCAGGCGCTCAGGGACGGCGTAAAACCGCTCGTGCAACCTCTTGCCGAATACACGATTGTAGACCACACTACACCATTCAACACTGTGCACACTACATGTGCTTACATGCCATGCACCTACAAACCCTGATGCCGCATCCCAGCAAAACAGATGACGCTGCGTTTCGTTATTCAGAACTGCATTGCAATGGTTTGCGCTGTCTGCGCTCATCTGCGGCTCGCTACTGTGTGAGAAATAGCTATACGTTATGGTACGTGTCTTTAGCAATTACAGCTCGCAGCAAAAGGGAGACATTTGCGTGTGAGGCGTACGGCACTGCTCAGCTCACGACATCCAATGGCTACAGCGTGTCGCCTTCGCTAGGCGCAGACCGCACTGGTGGGCCATAGGCCTTGTCGAGAGGGCCGTATTCGCAATCGGTCGATCGAGCAGCTCTGCGGGGCAGGGACAGGTACCGTGTATCGTGCCATGGCCCATGCATACCCAGAACTTCGACATCGTGTGCTTTCACAACGTCGACCCAAAAAGGCCTGGACCCCTTGCTTGGGGTCGGTTTTTCATCCCAAGTCGTGCTCTGACAATCCCGAGGCCTGGTGAGGACCCCCGGAAACCATAAACGGACAACAAACTCCCGTCGTGACTTGTTCGCGACGAGAGGAAGTGGGGATAGCCACCTGACCTGAGCCTTCCCACGATCATCGCCTCCCCCCGTCCTACCAGATGAAACCCTGAACAAGGAACGAAGGGACTCTTTTTGGCCACGGCGAGCCTCGGCCACGAAGAGGCTCCCCGACCTAGAACTGAGGGGCGGCCAAGGAATCAGAGCCCCTCCTGAACATAGAATGATACTATGGAGCTCTGTTTAAAGACCGATTCGCGATCACTTCAGCGTCTTGACTGTGTACGGTCGGTAGCTTCTGCTTTATGCACTGCAAGCTGGTAGCGTGTCCCTCCGCTCCGCGGGGCGGAAGGCTTGAAAACGGCGCGGGACGTTGACGCCTGGGGACTGGGACGTGGACGGCGCATCGCGCCGACCCGTGGTGGGTGGGCCAGAAACAGCGGAGCGACACCAGAAACAGGCCATACACAGGTGCCCGCGTTCTTGACTGTATATCGTTCCCCCCCCATCCTGCTGACAGCGCCGACGCAGCCGTCGCCAGGGCCGGCCGAGCGGCGGTGCGAGCGCCCGTGAGCGACGCGTGGCGCGGGGCTGCCATCATGGCTGCTGGCTAGCACCGCTTCTCGGGTGAGCTCAGCATATGGCCAGTGTGGGCGACAGGGAGCATGTACAACTGCAGAGGTCTATGACGATCGATCAAAGTCTGCCCTGTATTATGATGATAGTCTTCGATGCGGGCCGAGTCAGGTCTGTTCAAGCACCACCTGCTATCACGATGACCCGGCACATGTAGAACATGTAGAATATGGACGGCCCTGCGCTCAAGTAGCGCCGCTCCGAGCCCAAATGGTCACGGAGGCGTAACTCCACTCCCTTGGCAACACGCCGCATGAACTGTCAAATCATGACGACAGTGAGGACAATCACGAGCGGTGAACATCTCAATATCCGCGCCCTCGCGGTCGGGACTCCAAAGCGCGATCCCGTGGATGTGCGGCCGCGTGGCTAAGTTCCGCAAGCGGAGCATCCGCGAAGACTAACGCCCTGGATTCAGGGGGTCGCGGCCCAGAAGCCTGGCGCCCACGAGGCCGTGGCTACGGGTATGCTTCATGCCTCCCGCCCACGAGACAGAGGAGGAGGAGGAGGAGAAGGAGGAGGAGAAGGAGGAGGAGGAACGAGTGATGGCGATTGTGCCCGATTGCGGGGCCATCAAGCCAAATGAGCCCACATCGAACCCAGGATCATTCCGGCGTTTGCTGGATTGAACGGGATCATAAGCGAAAATAAGCGGGCCTGTGGCGGATTTGACCAGAGCGGGATAATGGCGGATTAGGCGGAATGACGCGAGAGGGGTGAGGGGGAACGTTCAGGGGCGACTCGCTCAGGGGGGGCACGGCGACCTGGAATTGACGGTACATGATCTCGGGTCGAGGATTAACAGCCCTCTCCCCCCCAGATGGGATGGTTCCCAGGGATCCACAGCCGCACCCCCCAAGATGGGACGACGACGACGACGACGACGGCGATGACGACAACGATGCTGACGTCGACGCCGATGACGACGGAAGACGTCGACACCGACGACGACGACGAAGACGACGACGACGACAAACCACCCCACCACACCACGGCCACAGGGCCACGACCGCAGGGGAGGGGGAGCGATCCCATTCGCGAGGCCTTCGCGATGTTCACGTGCGTACCCATCCAGCGGGGGGGGAGGGCTCGATGCATGGGGGGAGGGCTCGATACATCGCCGAGATCGGCGACAGGCCCCTATCGGAGATAGATAAGCGATCGGGAGTCGATGCATCCCCCCCTGAGCCTATCCCCCTCTACCGTTGCCCCTGAGGGGGGAGGGGGCGGGTTTGGCCTGGCAGGGCGCGAAGAAGGCCCCCAGAGCGACGGAGGCAGGAGACCAGACGCCTGAGGGTCTCGATGACGGAGCCGTTGCTTCTCCGGTGGGCTCGGAACGCGGCGAGCAGCGAGGAGCAGCAAGGATGACCAGGAAGGAGGTGGACGAGGGGGGGGAGGCGGCAGGATTGGCTTGGCGAGGTGTTAAGAACGCCCCCTGGGGAAGTGCGGAGGAGAAGGGGGCGTCCGAAATTCTCACCAGAGAAGCCGTGCAATCGCGACCGCGGGGCTGAGCGGGCGCCACGTCGCGGACTCGAGAGCAAAAACCTGCGCGGCAGATGATGCAGAGAAGGAGGGGATGATGATGCTGATGCTGATGCTGATGCTGATGCTGATGCTGATGCTGATGATGATGATGATGATGATGATGATGATGATGATGATAATGATGATGATGATGATAATGATGATGATGACGATGATGATGATGGTGATGGATGATGGATGATGGTGGTGATGCTGCTGCTGCTGATGATGAATACTATTATGATGATGCGGAGGAGGAGGAGGAGTTTGGTGATGGTGATGGTGATATTGATGGTGATATTGATGGTGATATTGATGGTGATGATGATGATGACGATGACGATGACGATGATGATGATGATGATGATGATGGTGGTGATGATGATGATGATGCTGATTATGATGATGATGATGATGATGATGATGATGATGATGATGATGATGATGATGATGATGATGATGATGATGATGATGATGAGCACGATGAGCACGATGAGCACGGGGAGGGGGATGATGAAGCTAGTGCTCTCAGGGCAAGCGTGCAAATCTGTCCGCTTGTCAGTTGTCCATCCCCCCCGCCCTGCATTCGCCGCTCACTGTTGCCGCTGCTGCAGCTGCCGCCAGTTGATAATCTCACAGTCGCTGGCAGCGGCCGCCACTTTTGCCGCTGCTGCCGCCCCCTACTCTGGTCTTCGTCCTCGTCAGTGGCATCTCCCCCTCCTGATGCTCATCCCCTTCTACTCCTCCACCGTCCCGTCCGCTCCTCCTTCTCTGCCTCCTACCCCTCCTCGCTGCTTTGCCTGCCTTCGCTACGCGAAAACTGTAAGCCATGCAATCGATCCTCTTCCTCCTCCTTCTCCCCCTTTTCCTCCTCCTTCTCCTCGTCCTCTTCGAGTCTCTCCCTCCTCCTCCTCCTCCGCATCCTCTTCCTCCTCCGCCTCCTTCTCCTCCTCGTCGTTCTCCCTCATCCCCTCATCCGCCTCATCCTCGTACATTTGTCTGTTACTCCTCGTCCAGCCCCTTCTCCTAATCCTCGTCCTCTACTCCTCCTATCCGGTCCTTCCTCCTCCACAATTCGTTATCCCTCCACCTTCTCTTCCTCCTCCTCCTCCTTCTCCTCCTCCTCTTCCTCCTCTGCCTCTTCCTCCTCATACCCTCCTTTTCCCTTCTCCTTCTCCTTCTCCTCCTCCTCCTTCTCCTCCTGTTGTTAGCTCCCGCGCCCTTTCCTCCTTCCTCTTTTTTCATTGGCCAACCACCAAGGTCCCGAAGCCGCTCCAGGCCCCACGCAGCAGCGGACGCAGCGGCGCTGCAGAAACAAGGACAGGAAAAGAAACGCGCAGGGGTGGGCGGGCGGGACACGCGGTCCCAGCCTTGAGCCAAAAATGGCCGCAGGCAGGCGTTGTGCGCGCGCGGCAGGGACACGAGGAGGGCAGCGGGGAGTCTAGCTCTGCTTCACCTTCGTGAATCCGACTTTTATACTACTACTACTCCTCCTCCTCCTCCTGCCGCACCTCCTGGTCCCCCCCCCTCCCCCCTCTCCGCACGCTCGTCCTACTTGCTCCTCCTCTACCTGCCCGTGCACTCGGCGGCCACCGCCGCCGCTCGACAGGCCGCTCGGCGGCGCTCACGCGGCCTGCAACCGAGGCATGAGGGTGCGGGGCAAGGATCCCTCCGGCTCCTTCGTGCGGCTCCTGCTCACACTTCAACAAGCCTCTCCCGCGGCGGACCGCCCCTCCTCCTCCTCCTTTATCCTCCTCCTCCTTTATCCTCCTCCTCCTCCTCCTCCTCCTCCTCCTCCTCCTCTTCCCCCTCCTCGACGCAGCATGAAGGCGGAACGGGGCGTCCGCACCTTTACCGCCCGCAGAGGCTCGTTAGCTTCAGTTTCGTGCAGTTCCATACAGTAGTCAGCGCAGCTTCGATGGGAACATGTTCGGCTGGCCGAAGACTAGATCGTATGCGCCTGCCAAAGAGTCTGGGCTAGTCGACCCTACCCTACACTCTCTTACCTCAGTCGGCTTCAGCTTTGGTATCAGCGGTTGGGTGGACCTTCGCCTGGCCAAACAGCCTGGGCTCAGCGTAGCTTACGTTTGAGGGCTCGCTGTGCAAGCTGGAATCCGTTTTGGATTTAGCTTGAGCTCCTAGTTTGATTTAGCTGTGGCCTCAGCTCTGCTTACCTGATCATGCTCCCCCTCACCATCCGTCCTCCTCCTCCCCCTCAGTCCTCCTCCTCCTCCTCGCTCCCTGGCCCTCCGCCTCTCTCATCCCCCGTCTTGCTCCCTCTCGACCTCCGACCACCCTCCCCCCGCACTCACTTTCGCCATCCTCGCTCCATTCCACAGACGCTGCAAGCTCCAACGTCGGACGTTTGAAAACTCAAAGCCAGGGCGCGAGCCAAACAGTGCTTTCCGATTTCGTTTTGTTTTTGCTTCCCCTCGTTCTGTCTTCGTTCGGCCCTTGCTGCAAAACGAGATCGACAAAAACACGGCTCACGAAATCGCCAAAACACCATCCAGCCCGCGCCCTGCTCCAAGCTGCAAGCGCAGGGACGTCCAGAGCCCGTGGGGCTCACGCGCACGCCCGCTCTGGTGGCAACGCATGGAAGCCTCCCACACCATCTTGCTGGATCTTGCGAATCGATGCGAATCAACGTCCATCTACGCTAAATCGCTGCCAGTCGACGCTGCATCGACATCGACACTGAATCGGCGCTAACTCATCGATTACTAGACGCTAATCGACAGTGGTGCGCCCTTGAGACGAAATTGCGAGGGTATACGAGGCTCCCATGACTTGCTACCGAACGACTGCTGAGTGGACGCGGCCGCAGGACGTGGCGGCGGCGAGGCTCGCGGACGGCGCCACGAGGAGGACCGTCACGTCGTCGCAGTAGTCGCCCTCGGCCTCTATCCATAGCCGCTGCGAGCGCCGGAGGAGCACCTTCTGCAGGGGCCCGGGAGACACAAACAGATAGACACAACTTTCAATATTGCTAATCCGCCACCGTGCCTGCAGCACGTTGAAGGCGTGGAAGAATGCCAAGGGCTGCCTGGCAGGTTTCTATAGTTTTCTAAAGGACCATCCACTCTTCGCTCAGCGCAACGCCGACTGGATCGCCCCTACTCCAGGGGTGTCCCTGGGCGGCCATGGCGCCTCCCTGAGGCTCTCCATAACGGCCCAGGAGACCCTCAAAACGGTCCAAGAGGGCCTCGAGTCGCCGAACGATCGCTCGAAAACGCCCAAGATGGCCTCAAGATGGCCCAAGAGGCCTCCAAGACGCCCCAAGAGGCCTCCTCAGAGGGCCTCACGAGACACACATTATGTTATTATCTTGCACCGCTGTGCTCTAGAGCTCGGACATTTATATTTTCGTCGTGGTTCGTCGCTCGTGGTGGTTCGCCCCCCCCCAGCCCCTCCCCTGAGCTTGAGCCCCAGCTCCTCTGGGCCACCCACCCTTCGGAGGCTTGCTCCGTCCAGGCTTCCCAGGACGGCCCCCCTGGGCCGCGGACATCCTTATTTTCGTCGTGGTCCGTGGTTCGTCGTGGTTCGTCCCCCTCGGCCCCTCCCCTGAGCCTGAGCCCCAGCCCCCCTGGGCCACCCCCCCTTGGGACCCCCCCTCCGTCCAGGCTTCCCAGGGCAGCCCCCCTGGGCCGCGGAACCCTTTATTTTCGTCGTGGTTCGTGGCTCGTGGTGATTGGTCCCCCTCGGCCCCTCCTTCGAGCCTGCGCCCCAGCTCCCCTGGGCCACCCGCCCTTCGGAGGCTTGCTCCGTCCAGGCTTCCCAGGACAGCCCCCCTGGGCCGCGGACATCCTTATTTTCGTCGTGGTTCGTGGTTCGTCGTGGTTCGTCCCCCTCGGCCCCTCCCCTGAGCCTGAGCCCCAGCTCCCCTGGGCCACCCCCCCTTGGGACCCCCCCTCCGTCCAGGCTTCCCAGGGAAGCCCCCCTGGGCCGCGGAACCCTCTACTTTCGTCGTGGTTCGTGGCTCGTGGTGGTTCGTCCTCCTCGGCCCCCCCCCCTGAGCCTGAGCCCCAGCTCCCCTGAGCCACCCACCCTTGAGAACCTTCCTCCGTCCAGCCTTCCTACGTCCAGGCTTCCCAGTCCTTCGCAGCTCCTTTGTGCAAGAGCCTGGGCACGCGTGCCACTTGTCATACCTACCGGTGTGATCTCGCACTGCAATGCTTCGGCCGACCGACTGACCGTGCCTGGGATGTGCGCTGGATTGGGATGTGTGCTGGGATGTGTACTGGGACGTGTGCTGCCTTCGTGTGCTGGGATGTGTGCAGGGCTGTGTGCTGCCTCCGTGTGCTGGGATACGTGCTGGGATGTGAGCTGCCTTCGTGTGCTGGGATACGTGCTGGGGCGTGGCCTGGATGTCCTGGGGTCTCTGGGGCAAGATGTGCGTTGGGATGCGTGCCGCGTGCCGCCCCCGTGTGCTTTGCCTGCCCCCCCGCACCCCTCCGCCCCGTGGCCACCGTCTGCCTATCCCGACCGACCGACCGACCGTGCCCCGCCCCTCTGCTCCCCCCAGCGCCCTTCCGCCCCGTGGCTCCTGTCTGCCTTTTTCCGACCGACCGACCGACCGTTCCCCCCCTTGCCCGACCGTGCCCTCCCGTCCCCCTGCTGCCCCCCGCACCCTTCCGCCCCGTAGCCCCCGCCTGCGTATTCCGACCGGCCGACCGACCGTGCCTCGTCCCCCTGTTACCCCCCACGCTCCTTCGCTCCGTGGCCCCCGTCTGCTTATTCCGACCGACCGACCGACCGTACCCCCCCCCCCCTTGCCCGCCCGTATCCTCCCCCCCCTGCTCCCCCCGCATCCCTGCGCCCCGTGCCCCCGCCTGCTTATTCCGACCGACCGACCGTGCCCGCCCCTCTGCTCCCCCCCAAGCCCCTCCGCCCCGTACCTCCTCTCTGCTTATTCCGACCCACCGACTGACCGTGCCCCCCCCTTGTCCGACCTTGCCCCCCCGTCCCCCCCTCCCCCCCGCACACCTCCGCCCCGTGGCCCCCGCCTGCGTATTCCGACCGACCGTGCCCCGTCCCCCTGCTCTCCCCCGAGCCCCTCCGCCCCGTGGCATCCGTCTACTTATTCCGACCGACCGACCGGCCGAGCCCCCCCTCCCTTGTCCGACCGTGCCTTCCAATCCCCCCTTTCCCCCGCACCCCTCCGCCCCGCGGCCCCCGCCTGCTTGTTCCGACCGACCGACCGACCGTCGACCGTGCCCCTCCCCCCATTGCCCGACCGTGCCCCCCCTCTGTTACCCCTCGACCACGTGGCCCCCGTCTGCTTATTCCCACCGACCGACCGACCGACCGACCGTGCCCGCCCGCGCCCCTCCGCGCCGTAGCCCACCGTCTGCTTATTCCGACCGACGACCAACCGTTCCCCCCCTTGCCCGACCGTGCCCTCCCGTTCCCCTGCTCCCCCCCGCCCCCTCCGCCTCCGTCTTGCTCTTTCCGACCGACCGTGCCCCCCCCCCGCCGACCGTGCCCTCCCGTCCCCCCTGCTCAGTCCCGCACCCCTCCACCCCGTGGCACCCGCCTGCTTATTCCGACCGACCGACCGTGCCCCGTCTCCCTGCTACCCCACGCGCCCCTCCCTCCGCCCCGTGGCCCCCGTCTGCTAATTTCGACCAGCCGACCGACCGCGCCCCCTGCTCCACCCGCACATTTCGCCTACCCCCCCGTGCCCCCCCGTGCCCTCCCCCTTCCCCCCTTGTTCCCCCTCTGCTTATTCCGACCGACCGACCGTACACCCGCCCCTCTGCTCAACCGTGGCCCCCCGTGCCCCGTGCCCCCCCCCTCCCCCCGGTGCCCACCCCCTCTGCTTGTTCCGACCGACCGTGCCCCCCCCCTGCTCGACCGTGGCCCCCCGTGCTCCCCCCCGTTCCCCCCCTCTGCTTATTCCGACCGGCCGACCGTGCCACCCCCTGCACGACCGTGACCCCCCCGTGCCCCCCTCATTCCCCTCGTGGCCCCACCCTTTGCTTACTCGGACCAGCCGACCGTGGCGCCAAATTACATCATGGTTCCGACGAGCTCACTGTGACGTAACGAGCTCTTCACACCAAGGCTTCCAAGAGCGAGCAATATTTCAAACACGTAGAAACCATACCTATACGACCACCCTTCGGGTGATAAGGGCGTTCGGGGGGGGAGGAACCAACGTCTCACTCGATCGGTCTCACTATCGATCTCACTATCGATCTCAGTATCGGTCTCGCTCGATCGATCTCCCTCGATCGATCTCACAATCGATATCACTCGATCTATCCCACAATTGATCTGACTATCGATCTCACAATCGATATCACAATTGATATCACATTCGGTCTCACTACATCATCATCAGCATCATAATCATCATCATCATCATCATCATCTCATCATATCATCATCATCATCATCATCATCATCATCATCATCGGTCATCGTCATCGTCATCGTCATCATCATCATCATCATCATCATCATCATCATCATCATCATCATCATCATCATCATCATCATCATCAACATTGACATCATCATCACCATCATAATAATCATCATCATCATCGGGACGTCATAATCATCATCAACCTCATCATCATCAACATCCTCATCATCGGGACACAATCATAATCAGCATCATCAACATCAACATCATCATACTCATCATCATCGGGACACCATCATCGTCATCATCATGATCATCAACATAATCATCATGATCAGCATCATCCTCATCATCGGGACACCATCAGCATCATCATCATCATCATCATCATCATCATCATCATCATCATCGACATCGACATCGACATCATCATCAGCATCATCATCATCATCATCATCATCATCATCATCATCGGGACACCATCATCATATCATCAACATCAAGATCATCATCATCATCATCATCATCGTCCTCATCATCGTCCTCATCATCATCAGCATCATCATCAGCATCACCATCATCATCATCATCATCATCGTCATCATCACCATCAGCAGCATCATCATCATCATCATCATCATCATCAGCATCAGCATCAGCATCAGCATCAGCATCAGCATCAGCATCAGCATCACCATCATCATCATCATCATCATCATCATCATCATCATCATCATCATCATGATCATCATCATCATCGCGGGACACCGCGGGACACCGGCGGGACACCGCGGGGCACCGCGGGACACCGCGGGGACACCGCGGGACACCGGGGGACACCGCGGGCCACCGGCCGCCAGGAAGGGAATCATTTGGTCCGGCCGCGCCTCAGCCACACGGGACTTTCGCGGGACACCGGCGGGACACCGCGGGCCACCGGCCGCCCGGAAGGGAGTCATTTGGTCCGGCCGCGCCTCAGCCACAGGAGACTTTCTCTCGCCCGCCCACGCAGCTTCGCCTCGCCCGCACGCACGGCACGCACGAACACGAAACCGAAATCGATTTCCCGGTGGGGGGCTCTCCGTTCCACTTCGATCTCACCCCCTCACCTCCGATATTTGTTTTGTCTCTCGGGCCCCCCTCGAAAGGTCTCTTCAAGGCCTCTTGGGGCGTCTTGGGGGCATCTCGAGCCGTCTGGGGGCCACCTTGGGCGTCTTGGACCGATCGTTCGACGACTCGGGGCCCTTTCCCAACGTCTTGGGAGTCTCTGGGGGCCCTCTTGGCTCGTCTCCGAGCCATCGTGGAACCCCAGAAGTCCACGCGACACACCCCGGGCCCGCGCGAGAGGGCCAAGAATCTTACACCCCCCCTGCATCTCAGGGCTGCATGAGCCTAGGAGCACTCCACAAAGCGCCGAAGACACAGTGGCGGATCTTGGCTACGCATACCATCGCGCCCCTTGGGGCCGAGCGTTTCGCTCCATACAAGTGGGCTGCGTTATAGAAGCCGCCGTTGAAGCCTCGCAAACCTCTCCCGTCAGATTAAGATTGCCTTCGGATCGAACCTGGCGCTGCGTCCACACGACCATGCTGGTATTCGCCGCTCCCCCGTTACGGTCACTCGCCAACGTATCGCAGCACTCGCGCGTTTCCCCGAAACTACCACAGGCTGGCGCCATCTCTACTTCCCATTGTCCCGCATCTGTGATTGTATGATCCTTGGCTCGCGTGCCTCTTGCTGATGTTCCAGGCATGGTTTTGCAGGATTTCGGCGATCTCGCCTGTTTGGTTTTCCTACGCTCCACGACGGCCCAAGAGGCCCCCAAGACCATCCCAAAACGGCCCAAGAGTCCTCTAAGAGAGGCCCAAGACGGCCTAAGAGCGCCCAGCGACGGCCCAAGATGCGCACAAGACGACCCAAGAGGGCCCCCAGACGGCCCCAAAAGGGGCCCAAGAGAGGGAACACGAACCGAAACTCCGAGCATTCCGCCTCAAGAAGCCCCCAGGAAGGCCCCTCCCTCCCCTCTCCCCCCCGTCACGCAAGTTATCGCCAGGGGGTGAAACAAATATCCCAAGAGGGTCCTGAGGGAAACGGCGGGTCCTGAACCACGGCGCCTTCCCCCAGGATCAGTTCTTCATTCTGAGTAGTGTTCTGACAGTCCCAGGGCCCGTGGAGGGCCCCAGGAAACCAGAAGCGACAAAAGACCGCACCCTGGCTCCGAATCCGCCGTGCTGTCTTGGGGATTGCGCCGTTTAGGTTCCTTTGGTGCCGATCTCCGCCCTACTTTACCATCACTGTGTTCGGCATACTGTTGTGGAAATCTCCGTCCTACTCTTCTGAGGCGAAGAGTTTCGCCCAACCGGTTCGCATTGTGTTGAGATGCATGTCCGAAACAACTTGGCATGGAAAGATCCAGAGTCAGGGCCCAGGAAAACGAAAACCCGGTTCCCTCAGGACCCGTTTCCTTGACGGCTGCAAGTAACTTACGGAAGCATTCGATCGTCCCCATGGCGCCCAATAGCGCGCCCAATCGCTCGCAAAGCAGGCTGAATGCATCTCTCTCACATGGCGCTATTGGGCGCTATTGGTAGCTATTGGGCGCTAGTTGAGCGCTGGCGATGTTTGGCACGATATCGCCGATATACACTCAATCCATGACGAGCGGAAGCTTCCGTGATTTACTTCGGTGGCAACGGGAGCCTCCCATGCCATCTTGTTGGTTCCTTCGAGTCGACGCCAATCGACGCTAATCGACGCTATCTTATCGATGACCAGACGCTACTCGACGCTAGTGCACTCTAGAGACGGAGACTTGCCATCGCTCGGACGTCCATTGCCCGTGCACTTTCCCGGTTCGTGGGTTTTTTTGTTGCTGGATGATCCAAGATGCTCACGTCCGAGCGATGTCGAGTATCTAATGACGGCGACACCTCCACGCCGAGCAGCACGTCGAGCCCAGAGCGGCATCGCGACGCGAGGACCTCCACGGCCGCGCCCGGCGTGACCATGTCCCACAGGCCGTCGCTCGCCAGCAACAGGACGGGCGCGGCGCAGGCCCGCCAGAGGGTGGACATGTCCTGCACCTCATGGTTGCGTGGCGATCGACCCCTGTTGAAAGACATGGCTGGCCATGTTGGACATACACTGGCAACTCATGTTGGACATGCATTGGCAACTCTCTGTCGCTGCATTGTGACTCACGCGCCACGTGTTCATCGCAGAGCGGGGGGGCTTAGGAATGGGCATGCCACTCCTTGACCAAAACCTTGCCCCGATGTGTGGCGGCCGCGATCGCCGCGGCGACCTCCAAACCCGACCCAGAGGTGAAGTTCGGGGTCAGATATCACGCAACGACCTCAGGATCCGCGCAGACCCCGTACTTCTTGAGGCAGCCTTGGGCGCCACGAAGCCCTGAGATCCTAGCGCCGCCATGTTTGTTACACTGGGCGCTCAAAGCCTGCTAGTACACCAAGCGTTTTCGCCCTGCTTCGGGCCCAAGGGCCGTGACAAATCGATCCGGCTCGAGAAATGCCGCGTAGAGATGGGGCCTAGGGCTCCGGTCGTGATTTCTCACGATGCTTCAATTTTCTCGCGACGCTGGATCCCAGAGAACGGTGCAGAGACCTCGGAATCCCCAAAAACCTCAGCACACGGTCCGTCACCGCACCGTTTTGGGACGTCGGAGACCCCAGTAGCCCGAGGCGTCCTCGGAGAACGACTCAAGTCCCCAAACCGTGCTGTGACCCCGAATCCCCACTGGCTCACCACACGATGTGGTCACCGCACTTTTGGGGGGCTCCCGACAGCCGTCGCCCAGGGAGCGGGACATCGCGAGGCCCGGGATGCCGGTGCGCGGGATGAAGATGCGGCTGACCAGCTCGCCGTCGTCGTACCTCTTCTGGATCACCTGGGTGACAAAAAGACACGGCTCTTACGAGAAGCGACGCAGCGACCTTACGCCGCGGCTTACGCGGGCCGCCAGCGCAGCGCGACACATTTAAGACAAGGGCGCTCACGCGCGACCTCACGCGGGCAACCTGCGCGCCAACGCCGGTGAAGCCGAACCCGCTTTCCTTCGTCGCTCACCTGGGCGCCGGCCTCCCTGAGGCGCTCGAGCTCCCCCGGGTCGTGCGCCTTGTGCTCCTCGGTGTAGCACACCACGCCGCCGCCACCCAGGTCGCCCAGAACAACCTGCGAGTCGCCGGCGTGCGCCGTCCAGGCCTCTCGGCGCTCGCTGTGCACGCAGCACGCGGCCACCGCCGCGCCGCTGTAGACCTGGGCGCTCCGGAAGCAGCGCTCCTCGGGGGACGCAGGGGTGCTTTTTGGTTACTTTCGCTCCGGGGTGAATCTACGGTCGGGAACTTTTGCCCAGCGTGTCGCGGCGGCGGCCCCGGCACGGCGTGTCGCTCCGCTCCGCGGGGCGGAGGCTCGGAAAAGCTCGGAACGTGGACGCCTGGGGACTGGGACATGGATGGCGTGTCGCGCCATGTCGCGCCGAAACACGGTGGGCTAGAACTGGCAGCGCGACACGCTGACCAAAGTCCCTGACCGGAAAGGTGGAGCAGGGGCAGAAGTGGGGTTCGAAGAACATCGCTCCTACTGGCCCCTGGAAGGAGGCAGTGTGAGCATCCAGCCGGGCTCGCTCCCTGACTCCACCCTATAACAAAAATACGCCCTCAGCGAAAGTGCCCCCGGAGGCCTCCGCGGCGCTCCCAGAGGCCTTCAAGAGGCCTCCAAGAGGGCCCCATGAAACCCCCAAGACGCCACAGAGCCACAGAGAGCCCTCCCAAACGCCCTCGGCAGGCATCTGGGGAGGTCGTCTAATGCATCCGACAAAATACCTTCCACGATCATAGCGGGCTTTCACTCCTCCTGGGGGTCGGCGGAATGGCGTAAGCCCCTTGAGCAGAACTCGCCCTCCAGAAGCCCTCAGGGGTTGTGACCCTCCCAGAGCACCCCTCCCTGGGAGAAGCTGTCGGCTCAAGAGCGTCAGCGTCGTCGTCGTCGTCGTCGTCGTCGTCGTCGTCGTCGTCGTCGTCGTCGTCGTCGTCGTCGTCGTCGTCGTCTTCGTTGTCCCCATTCACGGTCAGCGACAACGGCCGCAAGGCCTTCGCAATTGGCCCTCCGCAAGCACCCGAGCTCCAGGTCCAGCTGCGCCTCGGCGAAAGCCCGGCGCAGGGCCACCTCGGGGTCGTGCTCCAGGAGGTGTGGGGAGAGGAAGAGCGGCAAAGCGCGCGCCACGCGCTCCGCGACCACCTCGCCGTGCTCCCCGTGACCGTCGCAGGCGACGCAGACGATCCAGCCGGAGTCCAGCAGTGTGTAGGAGAACGCGTCCTGGTTTGGTGAGGCTTCGGTCGAGGCCTCCCAGATGGGATCGGAGCAGACGGGATCGGAGGATCTCGCCGCATCGCCGATGCACCGCCGATGCTTCCCCAATGCATCGGCAATGGACTGGCGACGTCGCCGATGCGTCGGCGACGTCGGCGTGGAGAGAATCAGGCTCTACATCGAACCGCATCGCCGATGCATCGGCGATGCGGCACGATCCTCCGACCCCCTTTGCTCGGACCCCATCTGGGAGGCGTAGGCTCGGATTGCGCATAGACTGAAGAGGCCCTGGGACACACAAATATATACACACAAATAACAGGATTCCCCATATTGTCCCATATCTTTTTCCCAACCCTCCTATGGTTGGGTACTCGTTTTGAATAAAGCAGTGTGGTCGCCCCGTCCTCCTCCTCCTCCTCCCCCCTCCTCCCCTCCTCCTCTCCTGTTTCCTGTGTTCCCCTCTCCTCTTCTCTCGTGCCGTCGGGCTGCGTTCTGCGCAATTGTCGCCACTTTCGTGGGCTCCTGGGAGGCCCAGCGGAGGTACGTCCCACGCGGATCACCTCGGGACCTCGCGGTGCCCTGGGGGCTGCGATCTGCGCATCTGTCGCCACTTTCGTGGGCTCCTGGGAGGCCCAGCGGAGGTACGTCCCACGCGGATCACCTCGGGACCTCGCGGTGCCCTGGGGGCTGCGATCTGCGCAACTGTCGCCACTTTCGTGGGCTCCTGGGAGGCCCAGCGGAGGTACGTCCCACGCGGATCACCTCGGGACCTCGCGGTGCCCTGGGGGCTGCGATCTGCGCAACTGTCGCCACTTTCGTGGGCTCCCTGGGAGGCCCAGCGGAGGTGGGTCCCACGGATCACCTCGGGACCTCGCGGTGCCCTGGGGGACTGCGATTTGCGCAACTGTCGCCACTTTCGTGGGCTTCTGGGAGGCCCAGCGGAGGTGGGTCCCACGCGGATCACCTCGGGACCTCGCGGTGCCCTGGGGGCTGCGATCTGCGCAACTGTCGCCACTTTCGTGGGCTCCTGGGAGGCCCAGCGGAGGTACGTCCCACGCGGATCACCTCGGGACCTCGCGGTGCCCTGGGGGCTGCGATCTGCGCAACTGTCGCCACTTTCGTGGGCTCCTGGGAGGCACTGGGAGGCCCAGCGGAGGTACGTCCCACGCGGATCACCTCGGGACCTCGCGGTGCCCTGGGGGCTGCGATCTGCGCAACTGTCGCCACTTTCGTGGGCTCCTGGGAGGCCCAGCGGAGGTACGTCCCACGCGGATCACCTCGGGACCTCGCGGTGCCCTGGGGCTGCGATCTCAACTGTCGCCACTTTCGTGGGCTTCTGGGAGGCCCAGCGGAGGTGGGTCCCACGCGGATCACCTCGGGACCTCGCGGTGCCCTGGGGGCTGCGATCTGCGCAACTGTCGCCACTTTCGTGGGCTCCTGGGAGGCCCAGCGGAGGGTCCCACGCGGGAGGTACGTCCACGCGGATCACCTCGGGACCTCGCGGTGCCCTGGGGGGCTGCGATCTGCGCAACTGTCGCCACTTTCGTGGGCTCCTGGGAGGCCCAGCGGAGGTCCACGCGGATCACCTCGGGACCTCGCGGTGCCCTGGGGGGCTGCGATCTGCGCAACTGTCGCCACTTTCGTGGGCTCTGGGAGGCCCAGCGGAGGTACGTCCCACGCGGATCACCTCGGGACCTCGCGGTGCCCTGGGGGCTGCGATCTGCGCAACTGTCGCCACTTTCGTGGGCTCCTGGGAGGCCCAGCGGAGGTACGTCCCACGCGGATCACCTCGGGACCTCGCGGTGCCCTGGGGGCTGCGATCTGCGCAACTGTCGCCACTTTCGTGGGCTCCTGGGAGGCCCAGCGGGGGTACGTCCCACGCGGATCACCTCGGGACCTCGCGGTGCCCTGGGGGCTGCGATCTGCGCAACTGTCGCCACTTTCGTGGGCTCCTGGGAGGCCCAGCGGAGGTGGGTCCCACGCGGATCACCTCGGGACCTCGCCGCCCCCTGGCGGGCTTGCGATCTGCGCAACTGTCGCCACTGGTGTGGGCTCCTGGGAGGCCCAGCGGAGGTACGTCCCACGTGGATCATTCGGAGGTGCGTTCTACGCGTTTCTTTCAACGCCCCTGTGTTCACATTTTGTATAGTTGACGTTCCTTTTCTTGCTGCGCTCTTCTGAAATCACTGTTGGGTGCTCTTCTTGCGCACTGCGGGTCCTTCAGAATGCCAGTCAGCATTGAGTGGTCCTGAATCTCATCGCCACATATATAGACAGGGTTGGGTACTTCACAGGGTAATTGGTTTTTGTCTCTGGCCTCCGCATGGGCCCCCCGATGTACCCGGGAGGGTCCGCAGAATACCCCGCGCCAGGGTGTTGAGACCGCCCCGGGGCTACTACTCGCGGGGCGCCTGCTGAGGCCAGCCGGGACTGCGCGGGGGGCCCCCCTGAAATCGGACGGCGCGAGATCATGCGAGATCCACCGACCCCTCCTCCTCCTCCTCCTCCTCCTCCTCCTCCTCCTCCTCCTCCTCCTCCTCCTCCTCCTCCTCCCCTTCGTCCTCCTCCTGACGCTGCGGGCCCCGCGCGGTCTGTCCGCGCAGCCCGCGCGCGCCGCCCCGCGCTGCGCGCGGCCACCGCGCACGCATGCTCGGACGTGTGACGCGCACGCAACGAAGGGCGCGGCGACGTGCGAGCCGAACACGCGAACGAGCGAACGGACGCACAGCGTGCACGAGGGGGGGGGGGGGGACGCCTCCAGGGCTCATGGACTGGGAGGCAGGAAGGAGGGAAGGAGGAAGTGGAGACCACACTGCTCTATTCAAAACGAATACCCAACCAAGGTTGGTTGGGAACGAATACCCAACCAAGGAGGGTTGGGAAAAATAATCCAGATTCCCCATGGCCCCAGCCCTGGTCCCCCGGCCCCGCCAGCCCCAGCCCTGGCCCCGGCCCGAGCCCCCCTGCCCTCGCCTCGGCCCCAGCTCTGGCCCCGGCCCTCGCCCCCCGGGGCCCCGGCCCCGTCGCTTCCCAGACGCCCGCCCCCGAGGAGACACACGGCTCTCCTCCTCCTCCTCCTCAACATCATCATTTTCCTCCTCCTCATCATTTTCCTCACTTCCCTCCTCCTCCTCCTCATCTTCCTCCTCCTCCTCGTCGTCCTCCTCCTCCGGAGCCATTTTGGCGCAAGTCCGTAGCGTTTCGGCTCAGGACCTGACCATCCTGGCACGGGGGTTCGGCGGCCCCCGGCAGCGACTCTCGTCCGCCAGGTCGGACGAGATCTCCCTTTTGTGAGCACCTGGTGGTGCAACTCTCCATCTGTGCGCTCCTGTCGGAGCATGGTAAAGGGCGCGGCCAATGGTTACAACTCGCGCGCGGTCTGCAACTACAGATGGAACTTTCTGCTCGAGGTCGTCCTGCTTCCAGTGCAATGCGGCGCTCGGGCCGCTACCACCGTGGAGGAATCCACCTCCGCAGGGAGTTTGGGCCGACGGAAGAGCCCTGGCGCTGGGCGCTCCCCCGGCGCTCCCGCTGGGGACGCGGCGTCGGCAGCCGCAGCCGTCCGAGCTGCGAGCGGCCGCGCAGCAAGGGGACCTCGCCACAGCGGACCTCCTCGAAGTCTTGCGTGCTCGCGTCTTGGATAAGAAGAAGGAGAGGCAGGATGAGCTCGCGTCTGAGCTCCGGCGTGCTGGCGGAGAAGCCTGGTCTCCCAAGGCGGAGGGCAGCTTGGGCAGCAACGGTCAGCAGTCCGAGATCAACCTGTCCCAGCTCCTGCAGGAGGGAGGCGAGGGCCTTGCCAAGGTGGAGATCGTCGAGGGAAACGGGTTCAGCCTCGACGACGTGGACCTCGAAGAGGCAGACCGCCTCCGCTGGGAAGAGCTCAAGACCACGCTCAGCCAGGAGATCCAGCAGGCGGTCGTGGCAGCAGTGGGCCCCACGGCCCAGAACACCCAGAAGCTCCGCGAGGAGGCCGCCGCGCTCCAGAAGCGGATGCAGGCCAGGAGGCGGCGCGCCGCCTCCGAGGACGCCGAGGTCCCGGGCGGACCCCAAGAAGGCAGAGCGGGGCCCCCCCCCGGATCGGGCAGTGGCGCCGGGCCTGGGGGCGCTGGCAGCCGCCGCGGCCAGCGGCGCCCCAGCTGCGGGCTCGGGCGGCCCCCCCTGGGCTGCGAACGGTGTTCCTCGTGGAGCCTGCCGTGGCTTCCTGCGGGAGGCCCGCGAGGGCCCTGCAGCCCGGGCGCCGGTTTGAAAGAGGCGGTCCAGGTGCGATCTCCGCCGATGCGTTCCTGGGGTCCAGTGATATGGCGTGCACGGGGCTCGTGCACGTGCCTGTCTCCGCTGGCCCCTGGTCGAGGCGGAGCTCGTCAACTTCGCGGAGACCGCCAGCTGCCTCGAGGTGGCCTTCGTCTTTTTCGCTGTGGGCGTCGACGGGCGCGTCTACGGCGGCATCTTCTTCACCTCCGACCTGCTCGGCGGCTGCGCGTCGTCCTTTTTGCCGGGCAGTCCCACGGCGGCTGCAGTGCGTCGTCGCACGGCCACCCTCCTCCAACCAGCTCGCTCATAGCAGCGTCCTCGAAGGAGCTACGGATTGTGACTGTACAATTCTACTGCGTGGGCTAATGGGGGGAAACGATTTAAAAAAAATACCCCCCCTCCCCCCGGAACCCCCAAAATGATTGAGTGGGGCGGACTAATACTTACCCGTTACGAAAGTTATTCATCTTGAGCACTGACGGCTAGGGCGTCTCCGAGTGGCCCCCCGTTCCCCCCGTAGACTCCTAGCACGGCAGTCTTCGGCCTGGCTTGGCGGGAGAGATTTCCGGGGTTCTCCCTGGTAGCATTAATAGTATATAACCAATTCAGGATAAAATCTCTCCCCCGTAAATTCACGGGCGAGAAATCACTCCGCGCCACTTCCAGGCAACTCTGAATCTCTCCCCGTATGAAACCACAAGGAAGAATCACTCCCATACCACTTCTCACCACAGCGCCCACACATGTCAATG